TACATTTTTGCTGGAATGACTCCATTTCACAAACGGTGATAAAAATAACCATCACAGAATATAACAAACGTGTAATTAACACGATTCTCTGAATCTGAAAAGACGAAGAAATATTACTTTGCCACGGTTTTGGTCAAGAGAAGTTCAACTTTTTTGCCCCATCTTTTGAGGGGGACGAAATGGTGATAATAACCGCCATGGAGGGTGATAATGGCGTTATTGAGAAACCCGAAACTACTGCCCAGTAACAAAGAGGACAAAACGTGTTTGGTTACATCGTCCTTGGTGTCAGGGTTTGGCCATCAGCCATTATACGTGCCTTTACACTCAATGAAAGTTTCACTTCTTTGATGGGCATTTTAAAAGTTGAGTTGATGAAAGTTGTTTCGACAGATAACCACGACTTACTATTCTTACGCTAAGGGCATCGTTTTTTTTATGTGTTTCACGTAGCCACCAAATTCTGAACATGGGTCGGTCGGTCGGGGAAAAACCCAAAAACCTAATAAACACAAAATTATCTGCATAATGTTCTTGATTCTCATTCATTGCAATTCTTGTTACAATTTCTCCCGTTCTTTGTACTTGTGGCAGATTAAAAGATAAACATTTTATATAACGAGGCGGTACGTTTTAAGTTCGAGTTGGCGATGTTGGAATGTTTAAAAAAAATGTTTTTTGGGAGGTTGGCAATAAATTTAGAAGGGTCGGTCGGCCGATGATAAACACAGAAAATAAAAATGCTGCCCTAAGTTTAAAATGCCCTTTTCAGACCCGTGCTGCTGACACAGGATCAAACATCATCGTATAAAAGGTGCAGTAATGTTTGTCACAGATGTAAAATTGGAAAACTGAAATAGAGAGAGACTGTGCTGCTGAGCTTACGGTCAAATATCTAACGTCACCGTTTTACCTGCTTAAACCCCATCATTGATCAGGGTTCGGTCCGCAATTATCTGCCCTTTAAGGGGCAACACAATGCGTGACTTGGTTGATGGCACGTCAGGTATTGACATAAACACTTCACACATGCTTAGAATGTCTACGTCTAACCCTTTGGTCTTCCTGATTTAGACATGATCAAATGCTTAGAATGTCTACGTCTAACCCTTTGGTCTTCCTGATTTAGACATGATCAAATGCTTAGAATGTCTACGTCTAACCCTTTGGTCTTCCTAATTTACACATGATCAAATGCTTAGAATGTCTACGTCTAACGCTTTGGTCTTCCTGATTTAGACATGATCAAATGCTTAGAATGTTTACGTCTAACCCTTTGGTCTTCCTGATTTACACATGATCAAATGCTTAGAATGTCTACGTCTAACCCTTTGGTCTTTCCTCACGTCTAACCCTTTACTACACCCTTTGGTCTTCCTGATTTACACATGATCAAATGCTTAGAATGTCTACGTCTAACCCTTTGGTCTTCCTGATTTACACATGATCAAATGCATAGGATGTCTACGTCTAACCCTTTGGTCTTCCTGATTTACACATGATCAAATGCATAGGATGTCTACGTCTAACCCTTTGGTCTTCCTGATTTACACATGATCAAATGCATAGGATGTCTACGTCTAACCCATTGGTCTTCCTGATTTAGACATGATCAAATGCTTGGAATGTCTACATCTAACCCTTTGGTCTTCCTGATTTAGACATGATCAAATGCTTAGAATGTCTACGTCTAACCCTTTGGTCTTCCTGACTTAGACATGATCAAATGCTTAGAATGGCGAAATTATGTTCAAAGGGGAATGTTCAGAATTTGAAGTGAACTTTTAATGACTGACTGACTGAGTTTGGTTTTACGCCGCTTTTAGCAATATTCCAGCAACATCACGGCGGGGGACACCAGAAATGGGCTTCACACTTTGTGCCCATGTGGGGATTCGAACCCGGGTCTTCGGCGTGACGAGCCAACGCTTTAACCATTAGGCTACCCCACCGCCCCGAACTTTTAATGAGCAGATCCGTGAACAAAGATGGACGTTTTCTTCATCTGCTTCAGAAATCAGCATGGGTAAAGAAATTGCTCTTCTGATGATTTCCATAACCATTTTTAAATGAGTTTCTTATCTTTCAAATCATATAGATCCCATACACCAAAGAGAGCTCTTGTCATACCTTGTTCGTTGTCATCGATAAAAGATGCTGATGTAAAATTGATATTATTTTCGATACTTATCATTATATCTGTGACTCGAGGCCCATTACCCGGTGAGAGATATTTTAGGGCAAACAACTCCCTAATTCCTAATATATGAAACAACCATTCAACCAATAAACCAACCAACAAATCAACCATCCATCCATGCATCCAACCAATCATCAACCAGTCAACCAGTGAATGAATTGTATCTGTTGTTGAGCTAGAAAACATGAGAGAATCCAGCTCACAGTACCATTTGTAAGACAAGGATCCGTGCTTGGTATGTTCAGCCTGGTGGAACCGGAATCCGTGCACCACGTCAACGTAGATATATGTCTATGTAACCTATAGCTAATTTTCTGGTCCACACTCGAACCCATAACTACAGACCTATACCTTTAAACCTACCGCGGCGTAAAAACACATTCAAAGATGTAAAAAAATAGAACTACAAAAAATGAACTGTTTCTCAAACTACCATCACCCCTAGTGTCACGTACATACCCACAAGACAGCCACACCCAAACTATACCCTCACCTCCGACCCACACTACCGTGCTACCGGCGACGAGCCATTAGACAAACAACATCTCAACGACGTAGCCGACAAACGTGTCGTTAATTACCCAGTGGAATCTGCCTGTTTCTGGAGGGGGGTCGGCAGATTGGAGGAAATAGAGATATCAATTATTAATGAGGCAATCTCAGTCTAATGTTTTGACCAGGAAACAACAGAACACCAGATTCCCCATCGACTACAGCTACTTTGTCATTCAGCCACCTTCTTGTAGGATCGGGCTGGGGGCATGTTTTTCGCGGTTTGAGAAATCACGCGACATCTGTGAGCGGCATGCTGCACAACGTGATCCGATATCGATATGCCCTTACCCCCTTCCCCAATGTTACCCCGACCCCCAGTACGAGGTTATAGAGCCTTTATCTGTTCAATGCCCGACCCCGAACCATTCCTAGTCACTTTTATTGGAACCACCCATTTTCATTCCAATCGGAAATATCATATCATATGTTTTTTTATCGAGTGAGTGAGTGAAGTTAATGGACTGGTTAAATAGGAGTGAGTGAGTGAGGGGTGAGTTTAGTTTTACGCTGCACTCAGCAATATTCCAGCTATATGGCGGCGGTCTGTAAATAATGGAGTCTGGACCAGACAATCCAGTGATCAAGAGTATGGACATCGCTCTACGCAATTGGGAACTGATAACATGTGTCAACCAAGTCAGCGAGGCTGACCACCCGATCCCGTTAGTCGCCTCTTACGACAAGCATAGTCGCCTTTCGTGGCAAGCATGGGTTACTGAAGACCTATTCTACCCCGGATCTTCACGGATCGGTTAAATAGGAAATACTTACAGTTTAAAGAAATGTTCACAGAGAATGTTGGCTTTATAAATGTAGAATTGACTGTATAAACGATTAGTGTTATTCAAAGCATTTAGCAATGTTCTAGTCAGATCAATACGGGAGACATCAAGAAATAATTTCACACATTTAGTAAGTCGAACCTTGATTTGACGAGATTCACTGCAGATTCCACTGGGTAATTAACGAACGCCTGGACCTGTGCCCAGAAAAGAGAACTATTTGATTATCATATTTTTTTTTAGTAATGTATTTCAGTAATGTATCATAAAGTTTCAGTAGAATAGTAATTGATCTTCAAATGGTGATCTTGGTGTAGTCTGTCAAACTAGTCAAACTCGCACAGGCAAATTAGTGGTTAGCATCGCGTCAGTTTATCCCCTTTTAATAAATTAGTAATTTTGATACCTGAAGGAAATTCAAAACGTCGGGTTCACTTCGTTTCGACAATCCAGTGATTGACATCCAGAAAGTCAAGAATGTATTTTCACGGGTGGTCTTCAAAAGGGTCCCATAGCCTCCATCTAATCCCCCATTTATGCTCTTCTAACGACAATCATGATGGACTCTCCTCTAGCCCCGCTGAGTTATAAATCCCGTACCTGTTAAAGGAGATTTCTCTAATGGTATTGCTCAACAACACTGTTCTGTGTATGTGAAACGTGAAACATTTAACAGCGTAATAAGAGAGTTAGTACTGGATGCTAGCCCCACTATTTGCTATCGTGTTCTCACGTAGGCCGTTTCAAATATACCCCATAAACACCTTATTGGATACGTGTTTAAGGTTAAGGCACGTAATGCTATACAGACGAGTGCCAGTAAATGCAATTATTCATTTGTTTCAACCACAAAATGATACTGAAAGTCAGCCTGACGATTATTATGGTCGGTGGGGTGTGGCGTACCTATATTATGTGCAACCACTTGTGACATATGTCCCCATATTTCGCTCACCACCTCGCGTGTTTAAATTTCTTCCTTGGCTTGAGTGTGGGTTTGGGGACCCGTTCTTCTGTGTCATGTTTCGCTCGATCTAGGGGCAGGGAAACTGAACTAAGACCCATATCTGGCTTTGTGTAGACACGAATCCTCCTCACCGGCAGGTTACAATCATTAAACACCTCCTATATTACTGTCTGGGTGTCGGTGTATACAGCCTATATACCCTGCGTTAGCCCGTCGGCTCAGACGGTGTCCTCGTCACAAAGGTGGTGCGTCTGCTATTTTGCGCTGATGACGTAGCGACAGTGGTACTATAGCTAATGCTTCAAATGAAATCCATTTAGATTTGGCATCATGAAGTTTAGTGTTGTCGATGTCGGTGATGGCGATGTCGGTGTTGATGGAACGATCTACCTCGGGGCGTTATCTAAGAAACTACCAGTAATTGCAATCTTAAACTGCTCCAGCTTTATCTGTTCGCATTAATATTCAATGATTTAATATCCGGAGGGATCCGATCATGCGACCAGGGAATCAGATGATTGAGATAAGTACGTGCGACCTTCATAGGAGGAGCATGGCCGCATGTTCGCGTCTGTCGGCAGGGACGACGACATCCCCACCCAGGGAAACACCGCCGGGCGCCGCCTTCCGCCAGGGTAAGGACAGGCCAAGAGCCAGACTTGACCATCCAGTCAGATCTGTTAACAAGAAAGGGGCACCATATCGTCATGTTCCCCACAGCCAGAAACCCCCACATCTCGTGCAGCGACGCAACGCACGAGAACGTCGTCGTGTTCAGGCCGTCAACGGTGCCTTTTCCCGACTCCGCAAACACGTTCCGTATGAGCCGAAACACAAGCGGTTGTCCAAGGTGAAGACTCTCCGGGTGGCTATAGACTACATAAGACAGCTGGAAGACATGATCACGGACCATGACAGACGCGCACGTGACGCTAGGAGGGATTGTGGAGGACATCAGGTTTACGTCAACTCTGACATTCATAACATCGTCGACGGCGGCCGGAACTGGATGCAAGGCCAACCGGTAAGTGTAAAAACACCTGGTTGTCCAACACTTACAAGAACATTCCAGGTCGTTTTAAAGCAACTTCCGAGTTGTCTATTCATTACAAAACATGTTTGGGTTTGTCTGGTCGTTGTTAAACCACTTCCGGGTTGTCTAGGCGTGGTAAAACCACTTCCTGGTTGACTAGTCGTTGTAAAACCGCTATCAGAATGTCTAATCGTTAGAAAACAATTTCCAGTGTATTTCGTAGTTGTAATACACATTCCAGATTGTCAAGTCGATATAAAACAACTTAAATGATGACTAGTCGTTATAAAACTCCAGGTTGACTAGTTATAAAACTCCAGGTTGACTAGTCGTTATATAACTCAAGGTTGACTAGTCGTTATAAAACTCCAGGTTGAATAGTCGTTATAAAACCACTAACAGGTTGCCTCGTCGTTGTAAAACAACTAACAGGTTGAAAAGTTATGAAACCAGTTCCAGGTTGTCTATTTGTTATAAAACATGTTCCACGTTGTCTAGTCGATGTGAAACAACTTACGTTTGTCTGGTTGTTACGAAAACAACTTCCAGGTTATATAGTAGTTAGAAATGATCTAGTCGTTATGGATGTAAGGTCAACTGCTGAGTGTTAAAGAACCTCGTTGACTCGTCTATATACGCTTTCCGGATTCTCTAGTTTTTTTATAATATCTCATGTTTATTACCGTTATGAAAATTAATACCAGCACAGTACTAAATTTCTGCTATGGCTGTCAACAATACCCGGATATCTAGTCGCTATTAAACTCTGTGTATGTTGTCTAGTCCTATAAATTACATGTCAGGATAAAATATCAGGTTGTGCTGTAATTAGAAAAAACATTCTCCGTGTTGTCTACTTATGAAACACTTGGATATAAATTGTTATTCAGCTGAGGGAGAAGGGGGGTGGGGGTTGTTATAGGTGAGGCTGAAGAGTGAGAGGGTTGCCAGGTAGGAATTATTGGGGAGAGACCGAGGGAAAACAGGGGAAATCTTTGGCTAGATGAAGGGGTGGAATCATGTATTTGTCAGGGATGGGGATGGAGATTGTGGGTGTGTGTATAGATATCGGATATAGATATACGAAGATAGGGATTGTAAGGATATGGAGTGAGAGATTTCCTATGGCGAGAATAGGGTGAGGTTAAGGGACGAGGAATAGGGTCTGTGGAGAGGAGTTGGGGATTAGATTGGAGTGAGTGAGTTAGGTTTTACGTCGCTGTTAGCAATATTCCAGCAATATCACGGCGGGGGACACTAGAAATGGGCTTCCCACATTGTACCCATTTGGGGAATCGAACTCGAGCCTTCAGCAAACGTTTTTACACAAGGCTACCCCAGATTAGATTAGAACAAATAAGGGGTACCTTTTTTTCTAAACAAGTAAAATACTTCAGAAAAAAAATTAAACGTACTGTGAAAATATAAATAATTTTATTTGTTTTATGTAACTATTGTTTGCTGGCTGAGTAGGTTAAAGAGCTGACTTTGTGTGCTGGCGATTCGGTACCTCACTCTAACAGTGTGGGTTCCAATCCCTGATGGGACTCCGCCGAAAAACGTTCTTTTTGAGTGTAATCCCAAATATAACAAGTGTTGCCAAAGATCTGTGTGAGTTTATTTATTCAACCGAATCTAACATATAGTTCCCCATCTATTCATTGAGGCATATGTGAGGTTCCCCATCTATTCATCGGTGCATAAATCTAGTTCCCCATCTATTCACTTTTACATACGTCAATTTCCCCATCTATTCATGTTTGAATTAGTCGAGTTCCCCATCTATTCACTGTTGAATAAGTCAAGTTCCCATCTATTCACTGTTGAATAAGTCAATTTCCCATCTATTCACTGTTGAATAAGTCAAGTTCCCACCTATTCACTGTTGAATAAGTCAAGTTCCCATCTATTCACTGTTGAATAAGTCAAGTTCCCATCTATTCACTGTTACATAAGTCAAATTCCCATCTATTCACTGTTGAATAGGTCAAGTTCCCCATCTATTCACTGTTGAATAAGTCAAGTTCCCAATCTATTCACTGTTGAATAAGTCAAGCTCCCCATCTCTTCACTGTTGAATAAGTCAAATTCCCATCTATTCGCTCCTGATAAATCAAGTTCCCATCTCTTCACTGTTGAATAAGTCAAGTTCCCCATCCATTCACTGTTGAATAAGTCAAGTTCCCCATCTATTCACTGTTGAATAAGTCAAGTTCCCAATCTATTCACTGTTGAATAAATCAAGTTCCCATCTCTTCACAGTCAAGTTCCCATCTATTCACTGTTGAATAAGTCAAGTTCCCCATCTATTCACTGTTGAATAAGTCAAGTTCCCAATCTATTCACTGTTGAATGAGGTCAAGCTCCCCATCTCTTCACTGTTGAATAAGTCAAATTCCCATCTATTCGCTGCTGATAAATCAAGTTCCCATCTCTTCACTGTTGAATAAGTCAAGTTCCCCATCTTTTCAACTGACATGTCCTGTTCCAGGAAGTGCAGCCAGGACAACCAAGAAGATGTGGTCGCCTCGTGCACTTTCCCTCGTCATGCGCACAAGTGAATGTCCACTCCAATGGCTATCTCGATCTCTGCGGGGGTCACTGATGTGACGCAACTGACCTGTCAGAGACATTGGCAATGGACCTGTTCATCGTGCGAAGATATATCCAGTCACCTCGACTTATTTCAAAACATTTCTGGTCGAATGTGCGCTGGATGGAGTCGTGTGAAGGACAAAATTGTCACCAGATCCCGATGGACCACGAGGTTGAAGAAACTGAAGTGGAACCCTGTGTTGTGTGGCATGATCTAGGTGTTGTTCTATAAGACTGGCCGTACGTGGAGATTTCGGGACAGAACTCATCCTGAACAACTAATGTTTGACGTTTTTAATGGGTCGGACGGCCAGGCTAGAGGACATGATTAACTGGAGCGATGTTCATAATATCATTCACCGGATTGTCTGGATCATCTTCTGTTATATACAGCTGCCGTCATATAGCTGAATATTGTTGACCACAGTGTTAAACAACAACAGCAAACAACAACAACAACACACACAACACACACACACACACACACACACACACACACACACACAAACTGCATGTCAGACACGGTGGGGGTTTAGTCTGTTGACGTGCTGAAATTCAGGATGACGGTGCTGATGACGATGCCAACGTCGTACCGCTGATTACTTCGCTTTCTGTACCTGATGCCTGTTCTGTTGCCGCCATAGTAAACGAACCAAATATTGATCATGAACTCAAGAAAATCGAACTTTCCACAGACAATATCCAATTCACCATGCGAGTGGAAAAGACAGTGGAGGAATACCTGCCGCAGTTGGGGATTAGCCACTATTCCACGACAGACCCAGCAAATAAACACAGTGTATTGTAGTGAGGATACAGCATAGGCATAATCACTGTATGTGAGAGGGACGGATGACTGAGTCAGTGTACAGCAAGCTTTATTTGAGGCACAGATGGAGTATTCTACCTTATCCTTCTTCCACTGATGCGGAGGTTTTGTGCAGATCCGACAGGTAGTGATGCACTGGTGGCGCGAGTTATCTGCAGCTAGGATAAGTGATACAGGCTATTTATTGAAACTGGATTAACGCTGATGACACATTGTGCTTTCTCGGTGAATATCCACTTCACCATGTAAACGTCATTGTTTGTTCGGTGGACTAAACTGACGTTCAAAAGAAAGTACACACCTGATTCTTTGGTAAAATATTTTCTTTAAAACAGAATTAATATTTAAAAAATGTTTTGATTCTGCCTTGTCACAAACATTATGCAAGTGTTTCCGAAACCCCACAGATATCGTACCCAATTACAACATTGCTTGAAAAATATTTATATTTTGGGAGGGAATAGCCCCAAAATACCAGGTGTATACTTACTTTTGTACGTCAGTATAGTTACATTTGCATTGATGATAGTATTACATTCTGTCAGGTGACTCATAAACGACGTTAAGCTTAGTCTACGAATCTGAAACAAACAAATGATCTATTTTGTGTATGGCGTTCGGCTGAAGAAAGTGATGGAATAATGTCATATTCTTAGTTTTCTAAAAAAAATAATCCTCAGCCCTCCGATCCAAAAAGGACTAAACAATATATCACATTTGCGAAGAATTTCTTCAGCCACTCGCCTGGCCAAGTAACTGTGTTTACGGGCCTCGTGGAATCGCTCTGACTGTGGTTTAAAACATTCATTTGACAGTGTCTAAAGTATTTATGTGTATTAATTATTTCATCTACAGCATATAAAACAGCAGCGACTTTCACAGCACAAGTGTATTATATTCTCATTCACTTATGATAAATACCCTGATCTATTCGATGGCATAGAACCGTTTCAGAAATGACGTGGCAATGGCTATACCTCCGAACCTCGGATCAGTGATCTCACACGAACATTGTCACGACTTAATGGTTGGTTTGATTGGTCGGCTATTTTCGGGTCGGGTCCAATGGTGAATGTGTCCGGGATATGGATGATATCAATATTGAGATATTATACCCTTGATAACCGAGGATGATATTCAACGTGATAGTGGTAAAAATAAAACATTGTTCGTCGACGTCTTCTTCGCTGTGTAAGATATCGGTGTTCGTGGTGTATACATAGCGTTCGCTGTGAATTACATCAGTGTTCGCTGTTTATAACATAGGTGTTCTTTGTTTATAACTTAGGTGTTCGCTATTTGTAACATACGTGTTCGCTATTTATAACATTTTCCTTGTGCGGCTAGGAGAAGTTTCATCTAGCAGTGCCTGAAGATGTTTGTATGTTGGAACAATGCGTTAATGTTTAATGTGATTAAATCTGGTCGCCAGTTTAATAGTCATTGTGTTTTACATTCACATTCTTCTATTTTAAAAATTCATGGTCCAGTACAGGGATGATTATGAGTGCCAAAACCTTCATCAGTGTGTATATTTTCCTAAATATTTAAAATTCACTCCAGGCTAAAAAGATAAATAGTTTATTCTGACACATGTCAATGTGACATGGACCGTACACAACATTAAAATAATTCATATACCCTACAACAATTAGTCTTAAACCGGCGCGTCTATGCAGATTACAGGACCAGATCACATACAGTAAACTACGATTATATAACGAACTAGATCGAAGTTCGTTATAATCGTAGTTCGTTACACACGCATTTGCACTAAATATACAGCAAGTGGGCAGGTTAAAAAGTCTTCGTTATATTCTTCGGTTCGTTGTAAGGATCGATGTTCGGTATACGCAGGTCACTGTAGTTACAACCAAGTGGTCTTTACGGTACATGTTTTCCACTGCATTTGGTATATGAGAACACTGGTATCGGTGCAAGCTCCTCACGAAAAAAGTCTTCTTGACGTTTCACACTAGAGGGAATCCTTAAATCTAGTCAGGTTGGATGAACTATATATATTCAGTGGAAACACATCCCTCGACTGAAACTAATAAGCAGTGAAGTTTCTAGCTTAGAAAAACGGGGAAACGTATCTGTGTATACCAGCCACATACAAAAATGTGTATTGTTAAAATTCTTTCTAAATTTGAAAATGAAACAACATCTATGTGACAACGGTCTGTCAAAAATCCGGCCTGGGCCAAACAATCCAATGATTGACATGGGCATCGATCTCCGATGACATGCATCAAAACAGTCAACGAGCCTGACCACCCGATCCCGTTAGCCGCCTCTTGTATGCATTGTTGAACATAAATTCTAACCCGGATCTTTACGGGTTCGACGTTAGTCACTGGAAATTAAACGGGATCTTGATATCTGGACACATCTACAAATACAACAGACTTCCACCACAAGCGAGGTTGACAGACATGAAGGGTTTCTCCATGACGTTGCGTCAGGATAGATGGTATGACGGGACGACGTGTATGTATGCCGTTAACGTTTCCTGGCGGTGTTGGGGACCCGTATCCATCTATCATGTCTTGGTGTCGTGACGCGTGGACGTCCTCCACGTGGCGATCAGCAACCTCGTTATGGTTCTGATAACGTCTGAAATACTGAAATGGTGTTTCCGTGGCCATGGAAATATGCAGTCACCTCCCCAACGGTCCATCCCAACAGACTCATGACAATTAAGCATCCACGTGTCCCATGCACGTCATTGAGATGCACGAACGTGCTGAACGTGCCCATGTCGACTGCTCGTGCAACTGCGCCAACGGATTGTCCCGTATAGTGATGTGACGATTTATCGATACGCATCGATACATCGATCCATGGGCCGCCGATACAGTGAATCGATACAAAGTTTTACATTGTCGTATATCCCGATACGATACTTCAAATGGGCAACGATACATCGATGTTTAACTTTGAATATTGCCGAATCGCGATATCTGTCAAGAAAAAGACTCACTTTTGTTTGATGATTAAAATATTTGCTTACTTATTTTCCCTTTATAAGTAAACGTTTTCTCGGAAATTCTTGCGTCAAGAACTGTGTCAGACATAGCGCTCACATGTTATTATCATTCACAAAGTCCGTGTATAAACTTAATTATCTCGTTTCCGAATGAACATTGAAAAACGCTGGCGGAATTTGACGAAATACTTTAAAATGGTTTTGTTTTGATATTCAGGTGTTTTATAGTTGGTGTTAGAATTAAATATTTTAGTATCGTGATACGTATCGTATCGTCACCCTTATATCGGGATTCGTATCGTATCGCAGCTTCAGTGCACGATACTTTGGCAATATATCGTCGTGACTAAAATTTTAGCATCGTGATGTATCGTATCGCAGGTTGTATGCCAATACCAGCACTAGTCCCGTATAAAGCCTACACTCGCTCACGTTGCTGGTTTGTGGGTCGCGGTTCACTTGGGTTTTTTAATTTGATCTTAGCAGGTTTCACGAGTTTTCCTGTTTAGTTATGTATGTGTGTCTGCATCCCAGCGCATGTGCTATCCCTAAGGTGATCACGTGACGTGATTGTTGTGTTTCATGAGGTGAGGTGAGGTGAGGTGAAATTGGGTTTAACGTCGCGCTGGAGAATATTTCGCTCATATGACGACGTGCATGCGTGTGTATGTGTATGTGCGGCTGCTTGTACTAGCCCAGACTTAAGCTGGTTTTATAGTGCTAGCTCACTGAGATACCATGCTGCAGTGAAGCATGAATACCCCACTCAGACACATTATACTGACTCCAAGCCGACCAGTCCTTGTTGTACCCATTAATGCCGAGCGCCAGGCAGGGACCAACAAGTACCATATTTTAACGTCTTTTGGTATGACGCGGTCGGGGATCGAACCCGCGATCTTCCGCTCTCACCACGGAGGCGGTCTTGTGTTTCATGACCAAATGTTTCACGTGAGTCCCCAAGACCATGTTCAAATAGCCCACATTACCATCACTACCTATAACTTGGATTTCAGGTTTCTAATTTTGTTGAGTATATTATGTATATGACAAATGCAATGTTGTTGATTTCTTGCTCCCGGCTGGATACAATTATTTCATGAAACTTTTGAGGTACCTTATTTTCGGCAAAAAGCTCAGTCAACGCTCAGCCAAGCCAAGGAGATACGTGAGATCTGTCACATAAATACTAGTCGGTCTACAGCAGCATGTCACGTTGGACTGAGATTTGTGACCAATATGGAGATGGCGTTGTCACAATGTCTACAAAGGCAGTCTGTCCTGAATCCACCCAAAGTGCCTCAGCGACGTAACGCCATTGTAGCATTCAAAGACGGGTGACCAGTTTATTGCGATGCAGTGCTCGGTTTCACGGAATGTCTCACTTTAAGCGGAGCTGCTTCGCACATTTCCCTGTCTGGTAAGGGATACATGCCTCTTTAAGCATCGTTTAGTACAGCTTGTATAAGCTACATGGAGATGTATTACATTAGCAGGTATACGTTAAGACACTGCGAAAATAACAAAAACACATAATGTTTATAACGACGATTGTGCAATATTTCACAGGTAAAAGGCGGGCGGATTATATGAGGGC